ATGGCTTCACTCTTTTCCCAAAGGAAACGTCTCAGAATCTCACAGACAGGACTGTTTAGTTACAGCACAGTCATCTGCCTTCTCAGCTGGGGTCCCGTGCAGGAGCCACTCCAGCATCTCACTGAAATTCCTCAGCGTTCCTTCAAAGAGACAATCTAGAACCTTCCAAAATTATACATATAGCAGCAAAAAGACAATGGACAAGTATCTCTCAGGGAACTCCCACGGAGCGTATCCTATCCTGATCTGTCTCTGAGCATCTCTAGTTCTAAATCTACGTTAACCTCAAATCAATGTTTTTAAGTAACAATCTTCAACTCCAACTCATACTAGCTCAGAGGGAGGTCAATAATCTGGGCTTCACTTGGGTAGAGATCTTAGACAACAAACTCCTCAGGCAACAGCACAGAGATCCGTTTCTGGCCAGTGCCACGGACATGCCGAAGAACATGAAGAGATGAACATAATGAAGAGCAATGGAGATTCAAGAGCTGGAGAAAGCACTGTCTGAAATGAGAGCATCACTGGGCAGCCAATTAGATCCAGAAGACAAAGGATCGGTGAATAAAAAATAGGTTCATTAAATTTAAAACTAATAAAAAGCCAGAAGGGGGTAGGAGATGGTTTAGTAGATGAAGCGCTGTTCTGCAAGAATGCGGACCTAAGTTTGCATGGCCCCCACATAAATACTGGGCGGCTGTGATGTCTCCTCTGCAATCCCAGTGATTGGATGATGGAAACAAGGGATTCCCCAGAGCAAGCTGGCTAGTCTTATCTGTGAGTTCTGGGTGCAGTAGAGACCCTCCTCAATGAATAAGGTGGAGCGTGAATAAGGAAGACATCTAAGGTGGAGCCTCTGCCACACACACACACACACACACACACACACACACACTTAAAGCCAGGCATGGGGCTGCACATGCACCTCATCCCATACAAAATAAATAAATGTAATTTTAAAATTCCCAAAGCAAAACATTTAGCTAAGAGAATCAGCAGCTAGTAAACCCTAATAAGGCAGGCATCTGGCTGAAGAGAAAAGATGCCGGGAAGAAATCTGTATCAAGAAAACATGTGGTCCAAAATGCACACAATATTTAATAACTGTCTGTTTACAGAAAATTGCAGCCCTTGTTCTACAGCAAGCATAATAGACAAACACAAATATAGCTAAAATGAGGAGATAATTGCCACAGCAAATACAACAAAATACTAAAAAATACTTGATTAATCCAAAAGAATCCAGGAAAACAAAGGAACAGAGATAGACAGTTCAAAAATAAGAAACAAACACTTGATGGCAGATTTCATCCAGCTCAACCAGATGAGTAGTTACCATACATATAAGGAAATCAACACCTCACTTAAAACAAAAGAACTGTCAGACCACATTAACCACAACACCACCACTTAAGTCACTTTCAATATCAAGACACAGATTAAAAAAGTTGAAGGATGAGGAAAACAGACCGCACTGCGGCTCTGCTCTTATCAGACAAGGCCAACTCCTAAGGAAAGACATCAGTGCTGGGGCTACCTCATGGCAAGAGCTAATTCTAATTCCTCAAGCTCTATCTAGTTATTCTCTCAGCAACACAGATCCAAATGCATGAAGCACAGGGGACAATGAAAGAAGGAAAGCCACAAGCACAGCACTCTTCTCAAATTTATAAATCAACTAAGAATTATCAGACCAAACAATATGATGCACGGAGACAGACACAAGCAGAAGCAGCTGGCTACACCTCAACATGCAGCGGCACCTTCCAGGCTCTAGAAACTATCTGTCTCACCTGCTGCAGTTTCTCTCTTTTTTAAATAATCTAATGAAGCGTGTGTGTTGCTGTATGTGCATGTGTGCAGGTGTGCCATGCTGTATGTATGGAGGTCAGAGAACAACTTTCAGTAGTAGGTTTTCTCCATCCACCATGGGTCAGGCTGACAAGAGCTTTTTGTTTTGTTTTGTTTTGTTGTTTGTTTGTTTTTTGTTTTTGTTTTTTTTTTTTTTTT